AAACAAACAGGAAAAAGAAAACACAACTCTTGCCGTCAATATTCGAAAGTTATCTTGGGAAGCAAAGTCTTTTTATTTCCAGTGGTCGAGACTGACAAATGAAATGGCCAACGATTTTGAAACGTGAGCTTGTTTCTGATCTAAATATAGGACTGCCTCAGTGAGGAGCAGACAAAGTTGAGGGAAATCAAGTTTTGCTCCTTTTCTCGGCTGGTCTGGGGTTTGCCTCTGGATCCACATCATCACCAGCGTGGGTCCGTGAGCAGGACTTGTTGAGTCTTCCCTGGCTTGCCCCTTCTTATCCTTCAGATCACCACGTAGACAGTCCTTCCCCTTCAGTGTTTTTATTCTGACACTCGGCGGGCTAGGTTAGAACTTTAAACTCAGTGTGTCATTCCCTGAGGCCCCAAGGTTAGTGCTGCTTACACAGCACCATGTTCCCTGTTCTTCAGTTTTCTCCCCTCACTAAATGGTAAACTTCACGAAGCCAAAAACCACATCAGCTCTGCAAAAGACTGCATCCTCATTCTAGTGCCCAATAAATATTTGTTCAAGAAATAAATGAAATACATACTGCATTTTCCGTGCCCATGGCAAGGAACATTTTCAGGTTCCATTTATTAGAAACGTACCTTCAATTTCCTCTGTAAAATCAGAGTAATAATGTTGACCTTCTAAGATACTTAGAAGATGGGGCAGGAAAATGGTTCCCAACTTGGGAGGTCTTGCTCTCCTAGCAGACACGCATACGGCACTGTCTGGGGACACGTTTGGGTGCTCATGGCAAACCCACAACAAAGGACGTCTTGGCCTTGCCCTGCATGGTATGGCTCAGTTGGTGAGAGATTTGTCCTGTAAACCAAAAGCTTGTGGGTTCAGTTCCGAGTCAGAGCACATACGTAGGTTGCTGGTTTGCTTCCCATTCTGGCTGTTTACTCAAGCAAGTGATCGATGTTTCTTTCTCACATCGATGTCCCTCTCTCTCTCTCTCTCTCTCTCTCTCTCTCTCTCTCTCTCTCTCTCTCTCTCCCCCCCCCTCCCCCTTCCTTCAGCTCTCTTTAAAAAGCAATAAAAAAGAAAATGTCCTTCAGTGAGGATTTAAAAAAAAGACTTATGAGCTTGAAATGTCAATAATTCTGAAGTTGAAAAATCCTGGGGTAAGTGAAGGGGCACAGATGTTAGGTCAAATGTGATTTTATTTTTCTCTACATGTTGGAGTTTATATCTTTGGACAGAACTAATAATAACAAGTACACAGAGAATAACCATTTATAATATTGTGTGTGTTTTCTCATGTGTAAGGCACCATATAAGCTTTTCACCATATTATCCAATTTAATCCTCCCAAGAGTTCTGTGATTTGGGAACTATATTATCCTCATTTCTCATAGGAGGAGACTAAGACTTAAAAGGTTGGTGTATCCAAAGTCCTAGAGCTACTGAGGGTCAGAGGTGGATGAGCTCTCAGGGCCCAGCCTTTTGACTATAACTTAGTGCTATGTCTCTGCGAATAGTCTCCAGCCTAAGGTCTAAAAGGATTTCTGCCTTAGGTATTTGGTAGGAATTAGAGCTGAGCACATAGAGGAAATTTTTGCCCACTGAAATTCAAAAATATTTTTTCTGCATGTTTGTAATGTTCTACTTGCGCTACTGTGAACAGAGATACAATATATTGGCTGACATGACATGTAGGCTGTTGTGGATCCAAGGATGAGCGCAAATCTACTGTGCACTGAGAGTTTGCGGGGTTCCCAGGGCGCTCTGAGAAAACCCCAAGAGTTTGTTCTCATCCCAGCTTGCAGTTGTGAGAACTGATCAACACGCTGTGATCTAGATGGAACTTTTCTCCTAGGAAGGTGGATAAACAGTAACAGTTGCCCCTTGTCATCCTATGAGGAGCCGTCTTCAGGACCGCTTCCTCTTCTTGTGTAATTAGAGAAGAAACACAATAAAAGACACTTGCAAGGGCATGAGGTCTGGGCAGAGGGACTTACTCCTCCTCTTCCTCCAGAGGATACAACTCAGCAAGTGGAAAATTTGTAATTTGGGTACATAGTGAAAGTCCCCAGGTCCATCCCTGAACACTTTGTTAACTCCCAGTGAGTTTTACTTTGAGGCTGTTGGCTGAGGAGCTTTCCAGGTAAATGCCATCATCCTCAGGTATTGGTTGTCTTCAGGCCCTAAAATCTTGACACGTAAACACAGCTAAGCATCAGTTCTTGGTACATAGGAACTTACTCAGAGACCCTGGTGCAGCTGTTTTTCCCCCTTACAACATTTTCTCACTGTGTGTTGCTATCACACTTTGAAGACTCCCCTGGGTCAAATACTTTTTTTTGTCCTTAAATAAACTATGCTTTAGAAAAGGGCACTCCTCTGATTACCAATGACTCCCATCAGACAATAGTGCTTGCCATTTAGATAAACACTTTCCAGGAGTCTGCTGAGGCTCTTCCCCAGGATGCCTACATGCCACTGGAGCCCTGTCTCTCGTGGTTCCTGAGGCGTTCCAGCACATTTTCGAAGACTCAACACCGATATCGATGGGCGACAGAAAAGAGCCTTTGCCATCCCTACAATGAGGGATGTGGGGTGAAGGTACGCTCTTGTGGTGGTGAGGACAGCAGACATCTACCTTACCAAGAGGGCAGGAGAGCTCACTGAGGACGAAGTAGAGTGGGTGATCACCATGATGCAGAAGGAGGACCAGTGCAGGAATGCAGACTGGTTCTTGAAAAGACAGAAGAATGTGAAGGGTGGAAAATACAGCCAGGCCCTGGCCAAAGGTTTGGACAAGAAGCTTTGTGAAGACCTGGGGTGGCTGAAGAAAATTCAAGCCCACAGAGGGCTGTGTCACTTCTGGGGTCTTCGTGTTTGAGGTCTGCACACCAAGACCACAGGCCTGTGGGGTCGCACTGTGGATGTGTCCAAGAATAAATACACCTGTAGGCCTTGTTCATTAATAAATAGTTTATACATCTGTTGGGGGTAGGGTAGAGAAGAGTCTGCTGAGGCCAGGCTATATCTATATCTATCTATATCTATCTATCTATCTATCTATCTATCTCCATTGCACTGCTCCTCTTATAAAATGTCATTTACATGTAAGATATAGTTTGAGTCTATTTGTTGGAGGCAGAGGTGATGAGTATGCCTTATGACTTTACTCTTCTCAAAAGAGTCAATTCACATGCTCTTACATTTATTTTATATGTGAGAATTTAAAACATTTGAATGATTAAATAAGATACCACTCTTTCAGGAAGTGCTTGTCAAATTTTAATGTGCCCATCTGGGGCTGTCAGGTAGATACTGTGTTTTCAACAACTTCTGAGGTCAAGTACATGCTTCTGGACCAAGGATCACACTTGAGTAATAGGGTATTAGGGAACATTGAGATGGTTTGAAATTTTGAACCTGAGCTAAGATGTCAGTATGCTTATGCATTATACTTATTTTTCCTATACTACCTTTAGTTGTACTGTACATTATTCTTTAAGCATGGAGGGGTTTTTAAAGTGTAGAGAAAAATTACAATATCCTTGACACTTAAATAGCACTAACATTTTTTTTCTTTTTAAATTATGTTTCTAAAGAAAGCTAAGGGAACAATTTCAAATAGTTTCCCGTGCTTTTTGATGTAAGTAGTTTCAATCTCTGGTTATTGGTGAGAATTAAGAGATGCATAGCTTTCCATGCCCTGTCATGTTAGCTTATTTTGTAGGAAAATCAAATCTGGCACCTTTCAATTAACTTCTTTACCTCTCTAATCTAAAAACAGTTGGGACAAGTTCTGGAGCATGAAGGCATAAGTACTTATCTGTAGGTTGCCTTTACTTCCGTAACTGTGTCTTCTATCATTTCAAAGTTTTCTGAAAGTCCTACTTTAAAAGCAGGAAAAACTCATGGCTGGAAAGAAGGTCGTGTTGTTGAAAAATAATGTGTTCCCAATCATGAGTTTTGCAGCTCTCAAAGGGCTCACAGGTGCATGTCTCATCTCCATGTGGAGGTCCCGAAGGAGGGGATGAGTGAAAATGAGTCCCGGACTGGACTGTGGCCATTGTCCTTGGTAACCAGGGTGTAAGCTATTTTAGAGGAACACTAGAGATGAGAAGAGGCAGAAAACGGGGCAGAAAAGTCTTCTCTGTGCGCCCGCACATGCTTCAGTGCCTTAAGTTTGTAGTGCTTCCTCAAGGTGTCGGATCAAAAGGCTGCATCTTTGGAGTTGGCTTTGTTGGTTCCCAATTTGCATTGGTTTGTTTATAACTTGAAAAGGTTTTGCATTTTCCCCTAAAATTCTATTAATTCCTCATTTACTTGTCCCATCTTGAAACAAGATGCCAACCAGTTGGATTTGTAGGTAATCTCATTATTTGAATCAGAGGATTCATCAGCGTGCCTATGGATATGCAGATAGGTACTTATGAGATGGTACTGACTGGGACTGTAAAATTCACAGTATAGGGATTGACAATGAGAGGTAACAGTATGGATTTGTTTGAAGAAAATTGAGTCATTTCATTTCTTGAATATCTTTTCAATGAAATTATTGTTACTTAAATATCACTTAATGCCAATCACAGCATTCTTGGGAGGAGTACAGTCAGGTCAACACTTTCTTCCAGTACTGCCCTCAACTGACTCTTTTCTCTCTGCTTTCCTACACAGGTTGCAGGTTGAGCTAACCCAAGAAGTTCACAGACTGACCAACGCTGTTCTGATGTACAACAGAAGGCAGGGTGTTCTACCTGCCCAGCAGGGCCCCTGTTGAGCGCTGATAACTTGGCTTCATTGCTGGCTTGTGTAGAAAATTCTCTCTGTTGAATTTCTTTTTCTTTTTCTTTTTTTGCACATGGAGGACAATAGCAAGGAGGTCAACACAGGCTGGTAAGACCAGAGACTGCAGGAAGATTCTTTGACCGTGGGCCTTTGGGACTCTCCTCTAGTTGGATTTCTGGACTTGGACAGAACTCCATCCATTTCTATTTTTTTCTTTTTCATTTCCCCACCACTTTGTATTTGATTTGTGTACTTCAGCAATGGGCGTACAGACCACACAGTGGCCCAGCCATGGGGCTTTTTTCCTGAAATCTTGGCTTCTCATTTCTCTGGGGCTCTCCTCACAAGTGTCAAAACTCCTGGGGTGCCCCAGTGTCTGCCGCTGCGACAGGAACTTTGTCTACTGTAACGAGCGAAACTTGACCTCAGTGCCTCTTGGGATCCCGGAGGGTGCAACCACCCTCTACCTCCAAAACAACCAAATTAATAATGCTACATTTCCTGCAGAACTGCACAACATGCAGTCAGTGCACACGGTCTACCTTTACGGCAACCAACTGCAAGAATTCCCCATGAACCTTCCTAAGAATGTTCGAGTTCTCCATTTGCAGGAAAACAACATTCAGACCATCTCACGGGAAGCCCTTGCTCAGCTCTTGAAGCTTGAAGAGCTATACCTTGATGAAAACTTTTTAAGGACAGAGCAAGTGGAAATTGGGGCTTTTTGGGAGGCTATTAGCCTCAAGTTGCTGTTTCTGTCCAAGAATTATCTGAACAGAGTACCCTTTGGGCTTCCTATGAACTTGCAAGAGCTGAGAGTGGATGATAACCGAATCACTGTCATATTAGATGTGGAGTTAGAGCATCTCCCAAGCTTGGAGCGTCTGATTTTGGACGGGAATCTCCTGACCAGCAAAAGCATTGCTGAGGGCACCTTCAGGCATCTCACCAAGCTCAAGGAATTGTCACTCGTAAGGAATTTGCTCTCCTACCCCCCAGCTGGCCTCCCAAGTACGCATCTGCTCCGGCTGTATCTGCAGGACAACCAGATAAACCACATCCCCCTGACAGCCTTCTCCAACCTCCGTAAGCTGGAGCGGCTGGATATATCCAACAACCAGCTGCGTGTGCTGACTCAAGGGGTCTTTGACTCTCTCTCCAACCTGAAACAGCTCACTGCTCAGAATAACCCTTGGTTTTGTGACTGCCGTATTAAATGGGTCACAGAATGGCTCAAATACATCCCTTCATCTCTCAATGTCCGAGGTTTCACGTGCCAAGGTCCTGAGCAAGTCCGCGGGATGGCTGTCAGGGAGCTGAACATGAATTTTTGTGGTGTCTTTACCAGAGCCCCTAGTACAGCTTCTGACAGAGCAGTGGGGTAGAGAGGAGACCGATGTTCATGCTTCAGTGGGGGGCAAATATAATTCACTCCTCTCCTTCCCTTAGATTTAAGAGACAAAGATTACACATGTTATCTAAAAAATACGTCTTTAGAAAATTCCTTTCAATATCTGATTGAGGCATTTCACTCTGTGTTGTGTATTTCCTCTATCACTCGCCTTTGTTATAAGGACGCAGAAAGTTAATGTTACAATCATTTTTGCTTTTCTCTCTTTTAACAAAAAGAACTGTGATATGTCTCCTTTGTAAATGTTTAGGTATAAAATGCTATGCAAGTTTTCTCTTTGTACTGAGAGCTTTATTTTCTTTCACAATAGAGCCCCAACTTATGTTTTATTCTTCCATATTCCTTGGGATAAGCAGAAAATATAACTGAAGATACAATGTTCTAGACACCATCGTTGAAACTCTATAGTCAGTTGAGCGGAAATTGACTATGAATTAGTTTGACTTAATGCTACAGTGCTTTGGTCTCCATTTTAGTCGATTAGCTAGTGAGTTCTGGCTGTTGCCTTGTTAGAGCCAGGTCCACACGGTGAAGGGGTAAGACCGTCTGTGAAGGTGAGCGTTGCAGCAGTGAGCCATCTAAAGTCAGGACACCGACATGGGGTCTTGTGAATGTAACTCGACAATTCCCTTCCACTGCCCTCTTCCCCTTGGCTCTGTAGATAAAACTATGTGTTAAAACGATGGTCCTTGGAGGTTTTCTTTCTTTTATCCACAAAATAGTCATTCTTCTTTACTGGTGCTGTGTGGATAACCCTCAGTGGGATAGTTGGCTGCTGAAATGATGTGCTTTGGACCAAGAAGACCAAGGCTGCAGAGATGTCTTTGCTGTCTTTTGGGATTCTCAGACTGATTTGGGGCTAAGTGGTACACGGGGGATCTAGTCTTGTGAACTGGTTGGGGTGACCTAAAGAGGAACCTTTGCTAGGAGGTGTGCCTGAAGACGTAGAATCTGATGACGGGCTTCACTTTCATCTTGTGCCCAACACGACTAAGCGGCCAACATGACATTCAGCCCCTGTTTGTGATGACACCCCTGAGGCTCTCACCTACACCAGGACACAAAGCACATCATGAGATTTGTAACGTGTGTTAGGAAGCCTGCTAAACAACCATCATGGTGGACTATGCTTTGAGTGACATTTTCAGTCATGAGAATATCATTTGTTGATCCATCTGCCTTGCATTTAGCCCGCTGTCTCAGACATTGTTAGGTATTTTGAGGTGTTCAGGTGAGTGACAAGGGTGAACAAAGCCATAGTCACTGGCTTATAAAGAGTTTGGTGCCATCTGTCCAAGTGAGGTGATTTCAGATAGCAGGCTGCCACTGTGCAGAGGAAATTCTAAAGGAAAAGGCATAGGCATGATCATAGAGAGAGTGCTGACCGTTATTCATGGCTGGGGTTGTCTTTAATCCCTGCTTGCGTAGGGGGATGTGTTTGATCATGGAGAGGCCCTGGGCTTTCCTGGAAACTGTCAGACACATTGACGGCCCATCACGTGGGACAATCACAGGCCGAGACAGGACTACTCTCCCCGGCCTATTTTCCTTGTGTAGCAAGGGAAAAACATTCTACCCTGTGAGAAATATTGCAATTTCTAGTTTTCTGGATGTTGGTCAAAAATATATTAGACACATTTTCCTGAGGCCAAAAAACCAGTGTCATGTGCCCAGTCTGGTAAGTTAATGAAGTGGTGAAGGTCACGGCTCCATTTCCTGCCAGCGCAGATCACGATGGCCATGGACGTTTCCCAGGAGCCAGAACTTCCTTCCCCACTGAGGAGAACGCACTGTCCGTGTGAGCAGAGCACCCATCCCAGACACAGGCACCTCTGTGGCAGTCCCCAGGCACAGATGTGCCACACCAGCCAACCTCAACTCAGGGCCCGTTGCAACTTCTGACAGTGAAGTCAATTTCCATTGGCTTCTTTCTCCATAACATTTTCTCCAACCCATAACGAGGAGACATTAAGTTTCCCTTCTGAAGGTGAGGGTAATGGTTTTGCTCATGACTTACCTTTCCAGCTGTGTGGGAGGGCAAAGCAGGAAACAGTGCCAACTGGGTGAAGAGATACATAGGCAAACACTCAAAGCATCCTTCCTAGTTCTTAATCTTGTCAAACCTTGCCTGATGCTCTTTTAAGTCAAAATACTAACATAGAAAGCTGTCATTTAATCCCTTCTCTGACTTCTTCAGCAGGTTGAAAGACCATGCTGGCTCAGGAATGGCTGTCACTGATTGTGGGGAAGTTTGTACATGTGTGATTCAGTCGGTATAACACACAAATCTGAAGTTTTGTTAACCTTCTCAATTTCTATCAGCACACCCACTGGAAGGGCACAAAGCTCACTGCAACAGGCATTTTATCCATGTGTAAAACACATGGGTGCACACCGGCAAACACACGCACTGGCGTGTGGTTATGACCTTTAAGAGGCAAGGTGAAGGCGCCTCCCTCGGGCGTCCCTCAGAGGACCAGCATGTCTTCACTGAAAGCTAATCCTGATGATTTGTTCTCGTTTGAGTCATGCCTTTTGCTGCTGGTTTGTGTTTAGTGTGTTCTCGCCGACAAGGGACCGCGAGGGGCTGGGAGTTTCCGCATCACTCGTCCTCTGAGACCTGTCATGTCGCACGCTTTGTTAGCTGCACACTCTACACTATACAGTACCTTGTTGATGTATTCAGTAAAGGCTTATTTTAAAAGAAAACTACGTTGTGTTTATCTGAGTAAGTTTATTGGTTGAAAGCTGATATGTTTTAATGATGAAGAGAAATGAAGAATGGTTGAGGAGAATGCAGAAGGTGGGCAGAAATGAAGCAGGTAACAGGATTTTCCTCTTTCTCCTACCTGAAGACAGCATTGGTATTTTAAGACTATTTGACTCTTTTCATCTAAGGAGTTTACAACAAATCATTATATTTCTTTCTGTTTCCTAAATGGTGTGCTTTCACAAATAGCTTTTAAATATATACACTTACCTTGAGATTATTATTTTGCATTTTTGGAATCCACGTTGTTCAGTCTCTAGTAAATGCCAATGTAGTTACCTAATCAGAGTAGCGCTTCCCCCTGCACACTGTTGGTTTAGGTGTCACTTTTCCTTCAGAATATTCCTGGTCCTTCTCTACTTCAGAATTTTTTATAGTTCATCCACCTATACTTCTAATGAGCACTTAAGAAAATGTATCTCTTCAGATGCTGAAGTGTGAGTCTGGGTTAATCTCATGATTGCACAGAACCCTCCCCCCACTTTTTTTATTTCCTCATGGCCATTTCACTAATTATATATTTGATAGAAATTGAATTAGAAGATGAAATCATGACATTTCAGTTAAGAAGTATTAATTACTTGTAGAATCTCCGTTGGAAAAATAACTGTGAAAGACAGTGGTAACGAGTGACTCATATTTTATTTGGGAGATCATGTAAAATAATATTTATGTGTTTTAGGTTACTTTTATCAAGAGTTACACACATTATTCTATGAAGACAAACCCTCAGTTGAGGCTATATATAATTCTTTCGAACAAGTTACTAAACCTCTGCCCCACTCCAGGCGCTGTGCTGGAACAGAGGGCTCCCAGACCAGTAGCACGCCGTCTTAGCCGGGTCAGGCAACCTCTGACTCTGCAGTGTTGTTCAAGTAGCACATTGGTTCATTGGGTGTGCTGACTCCTCACCCACTTCCACTGAGGGCCGACTGTGCGAGGTTCTCCTGGGGACCCAGACAGAACTGCCACTGCACTGCTAAGGAGCCCGCAGATTGTTAATAAACTCATGTTCTTACTCTGTGCGCTGTCTCAGAGCCCATGCAATTATTCCACGTTCACTCGTTAAACTCAACAGAGCACCTAAGGGGACGAAAGAGACATACACACTCCTGGTAAATTTGATGATGCATCCATTTTATATATTAGATGATCTTGGTGCTTAAAAGATGAAACAAAGCAATAGTGTACTGATAAAACCAGAATGAAATTTGAATTAGATTTTCAGAATTATACCAAGCAATTTAAAATGTAAGAATCCTGTATCATAATTACACATGCAACCTCTAAAATTTCCACTGAGGAGGACAGAATGGAAGTCAAACTAAAAGAAGAATAATGGCGCCTGACGATTACTGAGCATCTCTGTTTACTATGTGCTTTCCAAACGCTGTGATGCACATGACAGCACATCGTGTTTAACCCTGTGAGGAGTGTTCTCTTGGTGGTTCGGAGTTTACAACTCTACCTCCTGGGAGTGGAGGGGTCAGGACTTCACCACGGCCTGACTCCATGGGCATTTCACTGTTTACTTGCCTCTTAATAAGTTAACTAGCCTTAAGACTGCCTGGCCTTTAGGACACATTCATAGTCAATGTTTAAGATCTTTGATGACGGAGATATTATAACCTCAGCCTGGGCGTATATATTAGTTATTGTTTTTGAAAATCAAGGGAATCTTTTTATGAACCTGAAAACATCTATGCCTTTGAAATCCCTTGGTAATCCATTCCCATATTTTGCCAGAAATTGTTTTGTGATTATTTGATGGCTGCACGTTGATCTGAATTGAGAGGTTCAGATAGAATGCGGCGATGTCTTCACCCACAGGGCGAGCTGAGAGAGCTATTAAAAGGACTCGAGTCAGGTTACTTTTAGGAAGGAATTGGTTTTATACTTGAGACTTTGCTCTCAGTATTTTGTAGATTTGGGTGAAGATGCTCACATGTCTGAAACCTTGGCCATTAGCAAACTGGGTTCTGGATTTACGCTATTATTTTTTTGTAGCACAAGTAAAGAGTGTATGTTGTAGAGTATATTACACGAGCTGTATATTCAAGAGTTATATAGAAAGTTAAGGATAAATAATTTTTAATGTTATGCTTCAAATCCGATGCCATTTTAGCATACAAAGCACCTGATAATTCCATTTCCTTGATTTGAATTCTAACTAGATACAATTTTCGATATATCCTTTGGGGGAT